GGTTTTCGTCCCTCGAAGAACTAAGGGCTCGCCTGCAAGGGGTGTCAGTGTCTCCGAAGTGGACTGTGATTCATAAAGAAGAGTGCTCCATGTTTTTGAACATTATCGACTATCGTGAACCTTGTTTGAATGCGTCATTGACCGTGTTTGCAAACCTTGAAGTCTTTGCCTGCTATCAAGGTTCACCAATCAAGAACCTTGGTAGCGCTGTTGTACCAGACTCAGTTCAAAAAGTAAGTTCCTTGTTGGAAATTTTGAACAACCTGTCGATGCTGTCTGAGGAGCGCTGCACTTATCGCCACCTGGCTCAAGCAATACATTCCCTTCTGGACAAATTGGAAGCCAGCATTGATGAAGGCAAGAAAGAGACGGTGAACTTTATGAAGGAGCAGCTACTACTCCTTTCTGCAAAGCGCATTCAGTATAGCGCACAGGTGATGGTCTTTGCATGCATCTTGCGTACAATATCACCACATGCCTACAAGTTCCTGAGAAGCACAGGTGCACTAACTTTGCCCCACCCAAGCACTATTAGAAAAGTGTGCTCGTCTATTCAAATGTGCCCACAAGTTGATTCTTCTGACGACACTTTCCTTCAGTATGTGTCTCAGAGATTCAAACATCTGCAGGCACATGAACACACTGTGACGCTGATGCTTGACGAGATTTATATCAAACCTTGTTTAGATTACAAAGGTGGGAACATATGTGGTGCAGCAGTTAACTCCAACGAAGCGGCCACATCGGTGCACGTGTTTATGATACAAAGTTTGCTGAGCGCATTCAAGGAGGTGGCGCACATTCTTCCGGTAAAAGCCTTACAGGGTGAAGATCTTCATTGCATGCTGAAGAAGGTGATCTTGGGCTTAGAAGAAATTGGATACAGGGTCATAGCCGTTGTCTGTGACAATAACTCGCTGAACAGGAAGGCAATGAAGATGTTTCTGCCAGAACCAAAGCTTAGCCCTGTTTACCCGCATCCGGCAGACCCAGATCGGCCGTTATTTTACGTGGTGGATGCTGTGCATCTATTTAAATGCATAAGAAATAACTGGCTCAACCAGAAAAATGCTGGAACTTGCTTTTTCTACCCACGCTTCGAGCTTTCGAACAATGAAGTTCATCCCGAATGCAAGATGACTGCTTCATTTAAGCATTTGAGAGATTTGCATAAAGAGGAGTCACCCCTGCTTCTGAAGTCTGGGTATGGCTTGACGTCAAAAGCTCTAAATCCAAGCAGCTTTGAACGACAGGACGTCAAACTCGTACTGCAGGTTTTTAATCCACACGTAGCCGAAGCCCTGGCCGCTCGCAAGGGTCATACTGATTTTCAACATGCTACAGCAACCGCCGAGTTCATCAAAATAATTCTTCGTTGGTGGAGCATTGTCAATGTAAAGACACCTAGTAAGGGCTTCCATCACCGTAATGTTTACGAAGAGCCCATGTCAAACCACACAGATGACCCAAAGGCAAGCTTTCTAAGCGCTTTTATCACATGGCTCGATGTGTGGGAATTTTATAGGCACGACACCGGAGTACTTACCCAGGAGACATTGAGTGCCTTGAGGCTCTCTGCTCAATCCCTTTTGGCATTGGTGAAGTACTGCGTTAGTGAGCTTCACTTTAAGTATATTCTGCTAGGGAAAGTCCAGACGGATACCCTCGAGAGTCGCTTTGGACAGTACAGGCAGATGGCTGGTGGGCAGTATCACATATCTGTTCGCCAGCTTTGCGAAACCGAGGGAAGGATTCGCCTTCAAAATGCCCTTCCAAGGATGAGCAACGATGATCTCAGAGGCATCGAAGAGACGGACAGTGTCAGGGATGCGGGCACTTCTTTTAGTGTTCATGTTAGCGATGCTGACCTTGATGAGCTCAGAGCACAAATGCCGGTGATTGGTTATGTTGGTGGGTATTGTGCACACGCTGCAATGAAAGTTCTCAAGTGTGAAAGCTGCCAGAGGCAATTGGTCGTTACCCGAAATACGGCCGAAACAGGAGAGGACACCCATTCTTTAATCGCACAACTGGATCGGGGTGGCCTCAAATTTCCTTCTGCTCTTGTAATCACAGTAGTTATGTACACAGAGGTTGTAGTTAGAAAGCTCATGACGGAAAGTACCTCTACCCAGTTTCTCCATGGGCCGAACCAAAAGAATGTCGTTCGGCAACTTACACTGGACTCTCTGCCAAGGCTTGAGGACATAGATACGTGTGAAAACGGGCACACCTACGAGCTCCTCATCACATTGGTTGCAAACTGTGCAGCAAATATAATGCTCAACAACTTGTGCAAGCAAAGGAACGATCTTTTACGCATTGAAAAAGATCAGAAGGCGAAAAATAGAAAGGCCCGAATTTTTCTTGGAAAGTAATTTTCCAAGCGTCGCGTCTTTCTCTTCACATTTATTCTTGTGAAACTGCACAGAGTGTATTTGATTGCATGTCATGACTTGATTTCCTTGGTATACTTCTGCCTTATGTAAAATGAGCCTTGTTTCCAGTTTTGTATCTCTTTACAAGTTGTTAGCTTTTAAAAGTGCTGTACTTTTTTCTTTTTTTTTAACTCGAACTGCCTCGGTGCCTACTGTAGCAGTTGTACAGTCCGTTTTGGTACCTAAGCTGTGTACACTTTCCTTGTGCACTCTGTGTACAGACATGTTGTGCACTGTGATTTGTTTTTTCTTAGATTTTTGTTTGATTTTTTCCCTAGGACATGCACCTACCTGTGGCAGTACAATTACTTTTCTTTCTGTCATTTATCATGCTGTGGACCACAATTTAGTCACCAGTGTTCTTATGTATTGTATTTTTTGGCAAGTGTTTGAACCTGATACCTTGTGTTGCTACTGCTACTATGATAAACGAATGGTATGTTTTCCTCTAACGTACAATTTAAATGAAAGTGTGCTTTTTCTGTTCCAAAGCTCGGGGATGTTTTTGCTGTTACAATCTGTTTTGTTTTGAGTTTTATGTGGCAAGATATTGTGTTTTGTACTTTTGGCATATTTTCAGCATTAAGGGCAACACCTTGTGTTGCCTGTCGTCTGCCTGGACCGAGAACAATGCGCACTGTGATATTTGTACAGACGGCGTCTGGCTGTGATAAATAAATATGCATTATTCCATTCACGATATTCATTATTTCTTGATACCTTGATAAGTTCCCCAACCGCGGTGGCTCAGTGGCTAAGGCGTAGCGCTGCTGAGCACTAGGGCGCGGTTTCGATACCCGGCTGCGGCGGCCGCATTTCTGATGGAGGCGAAAAGCAAAAACGCCCGTGTGTACGAGATTTCGGCACACAATAAAGATTCCCAGGTAGTCAAACTTGATCCTGAGCCCTCCCCTACGGCGCGCTTCATCGCCTGCGTTGCGTCGGCGCGTTAAACCATACAATCAATCGATACCTTGATAAATCGTGCGGACATGGTGTCAAGGCACCTCGCCCGAGTCGGTAGGCGTGAAGGGCGCTCGCGGCTGGCGCAGCCACCCAGCGAAGGGCGGCCGGCCGGCCGGCGCGATGTGACGTCGTCGACGTCACGTCACGTGACGCGCAGGCCTGAAAAGCTTCCGGGGGTGACGGCGAAACCCGAATGAAACAAAAGTGAAAATAAGAAACGCGCGGCAATATTGCGCTGTATCGACAACCAGGAACTGCTTCGGCGACGTGATGGTTTATGTACTAATGAATTGATGTGAAATGCAACATTAAAACGTGGTAAATACCTACCGCAGCGACTTCAGAGCTCGTCGTGTGCATTATATATACATTTGGGATCTTTTAATGGGGTTTTAAGCCATCAATCGGGCTTTGTGGAAAAACACATTCCGCAAAAATCAACCGCTGCTGTGAACATTCCAGCCAAATTTTGTAGTCGTGTGTGGTAAGTAGAATTCTAAGCATGGCGAGTTTATTAACGACATTGTCACTTTCTCCAGCGCCATTCCCTTCATATATAGAGTGCCACAATCATTGAGTCAGGGGAGAACAACTGGGCGTGCTATTATTGCAAGATTCCAGGTAAAATGCGCGAAGAAGGAAAATATTGCTTCAACGGTGCCACAATTCGCGGTAACTATGCCTGTGCACGACGGAGAGAGGAAAAATTTACTGGCGAAATACTTTTTGCTGAAGAACCCTTATTTTAGGAACCATCTGGCCTGGACCACCCACTGGTCTAGGGGCTGCAGTTGAAGCTGGCCGACCAGGTCTTGCTTGCTGATCGCAGCCTCCCACGCTTCATTGAGGAGGTTTTGATTCGCATCTGTTGCTGCTAGTTTTTGCGCTGCAGCGCTTTCTTTGAACGATTCGATGAAGTTTCGAGGGGATTGGTTGGTGAGGCAATAAAATTCGATTGATGATCACTTGGAAAATTGACTCAGGAATCTTTTAACTTTCGTGAATAAACTGGATTGCCATCTCTATATGTTGGCTGCCCTGTCGAATGCATGAATCAAAATTACTCTCCCGAAGTTAAACAACCTATTTGTATACCTGGTCATTAAATGGTATGGTGAAGTGGCACACTTATGACAGGGAAAAAGAGGACAATATGAACGCGACACCTGTCTTCTTTGTGCCAGACAAAAATGCGTTACTTCCCCATACTGTATATAATGATTAGTCACCGACTAGGAGGAATAGGAGGGAAATGAAATGCACTGTTGTTAATCACACTGGAGCGACCGGTAGGCTACCCTACACTGGGGATAGGGATGAGGGAGTTTGATAGATGGAAAAAGGGAGAGAGAGGAGAGGGCACACATGCATTGAGCTCACAAATGCTGATGACTTGGAACACGTTGACGCGCACTAACTGACGGAAGTTCGAAAGACACGGTTTTAGTGCACTGGTGTTCCACTGAATGATGAATGGTTCCTTGACTTCTCAGAAATGATGGCGATTGTCAGCCATATTTCTACTCGAGCCACTCAAGTACTGGGCTAACACTGGGCTAAGTACCGAATAACCCAGCTCTAAACCTTACTATGTACCTAGATTTGTCCGAGAAGTGCACCTTCTCGTAGGGCAGATGCGTCTTGATCACCAGTGGTAGTCCCGGGGTCCTGGATAACTTCTCAACCTTCTCGCCACCAGCGAATTCCAGGAAGGCGACGTTAGGCAAGCACGTCGCGGCGCTCTGTGCGGGTGTTTCGCTCGCATGGTTCAAGATGCGTTGCAGCACGAAATGAAGCCACGTGGTGCCTGTTTTCGGGAAGCCCACGACGAACACGTCCTCCTCCCTGGGCTTGTAACGAAACGCTGATCGAAGCCGCGACTCTTCGAACATGTCGCCCACCAGGATGCCTTCGAAGTGGTGAAGGTATTTCGCCTTGTCGGACGTCGGCGATGAGCTTTCAGCTTTGATATCGGCCATGCCTCTGTACTAACACGAGGTTTTTCTTAACTGCACAGGAAGAATGCGAATTCAGTTATACGGAGTGATGCTTACCACGAGCAGGTTAAATGAATAATTCTGGCCAAAGTTTAATAATAATTGTTAAGATTTAGCATCCCAAAACCACCATTTGGTTATGAGAAACGCCGTAGTGGAGGGCTCCGGAAATTTCGACCACCTGGGGTTTTTTAACGTGTGCCTCAATCTAAGCACGCGAGCTCCAAGCATTTTCACCTCCATTGGAAATGCAACGGCTGCAGCCGGGAGTCAATCCCACAACCTGCGGGTCAGCAGCCGGGTGCCTTAGCCACTAGACCACGGTGGAGGGTCCCCGGAACAAATTTGGTAAGTGAAAAAAAAAAGGTATTGACACTAGCTGTCCTGTCCAGCTTACGTGGGAAGCGTATTCGGAATGATTATCGGTAATTCTTAATGACACTTAATGACACTTAATGGCTGCATATCTCACACTTTTATGTGAGATATACAGCCTAGTAGCTGACATTATGTATACCGTGCTCTCTAAACAGCAACAGAGTGACATCAATTGTTTATTAATGTTAACTGGAAATAAGTACCGGTACAAAGTAATGTATGATTCACTATAAGAATATTTTAAAGAGCCATGAAAGTAAAAGTCTCTAGTGTCCCCTTTTGTGGAAGTTGTTGTGGAACAGTCATGTTCGTAAGGCTATGGTATAGATACAGGAACAAAGCAAAGTTGCTCTTCTTGTGCATGGGATTCGCTGTAGTACCGTTGGCTTATAGTTATTGAGGAGACAAAAAAATAATTGAGACGATAATATAAATAAAACGGTGATGATAGTGATGGCTATGTTTGACACGAGGGCCGCGCAAAGACTTCCCTTTTGCAAAAAGTACATTGCTTTGTACACTTGTAGCATTTTAATTTTGTGTAAGCTTATAGATTTTGAAGCAGAGAATGACGCAATGCAACATCTTTTGCAAAAGGATAAACTCGAGAGCGAATCAACTTTTCTTTTTTGCAGATGTCAAGTATCGACAGCGAAACTGCATAACATGAAATCCCCGATCAACCCTTTCAAATTTACCACAATAAGGATGGTATGAAGCCTTTGTCGAATATAGGTAGACCTATAAAACGGTGGTCAGGCTTTCTCTGGACTTGCTCTTCTTCAGAAAACATGCCATAAAACAGCCATGTGGGCTAGTTGGTAACGGGTAATTCCAAATGCAAAAAGTGGGGCGCAGTACGCAGAACGAAGACAACAGAAGAGAACGGCCACACAGGCGAACGCTCGCAAGTGGATGTTTATTGAAGAGGCAACACGTATATATCTATCGAAATTGGCACATGGTACAGTTTTCCTAACGTAAAAAAGAACAAAAAAAAAAACCTGAGTGACTATACCCGTTTGACAAAAAAAAAAAAAAACATTATGAATGTCATGAAACTTCCACCTGTGTCTGTGCGCCTGTGTCATCGCTCTCTTCCCTAGTCTGTGTTTTGTAGTGCGCCCAACTTTTTGCCGAAAACCTGTGTATCACATTGTGTTTTCATTTGTCGGTTTTCACGTGTGTTCTAGCGTCGCAAGGTGGTATTTGTAAACTACAATAAAAGTAAGTTTTCCGCACAAGAAGGCAAGAGCCTTGTGGATGAGATTATGTAAACGCTAATTTAGCATTAAGAGTCACTTCCAAATATGCGAAAGAAGTTTGTAGGCTTTCTAAGATGATAGTATATACGGCGTTCCCTGGCGCCTGTAAACACCTCTTGAACTGTACGCATTACCCGAGCCCACAATGTAGGAAATACGTGGTAGATAGTCTGGATATATATGAAGTCGTTAAAAAAAGGCAGTCTATTGTGCTTTCTGATGAGATATCTTCGGTGACGGACATTTCTGGATCCAATATTTAGACCAGAAAACTTGGCTTTAAAATTTGTTGTCCTGACGGAGACAATTTTATTAGTCGGAACACTGGCTGCAGTGACATGCTTTGCTGAAGAACTACTGATTAGTTAAAGACTCCTTCGTTCACTGTCACGTTCCGTAAGTCATTCCAACAATTCCATATGTTTCCGTAAGGTTCTTACAGAAATACATGGAAAACTTGGGGGAAATATACAGATATGGATTACGCAAGAAAACATATGAAATTATTGGAATGACATACCATACACTTTAGTGGGGCTAACCATTCTTATTCAAAGTTCAAAGTTCAAAGTTTATTCAATATCGACAATATTACTCTACAAAAAAGTGTGTAAAAGATTAGTAATACTCAAGGATCCCCAAGCTAAAAACTGTCGGCGGGGGGGGGGGGGGCATAAAAGATGTGAATGAAAAAGGAAGGTATACATCATTCAGTGGTTACAGTATCTTTGGTAAGAACTGAAAAGAAAAGTGTGAAAATAAATACAAAATCAGAAATACTTATATGTTCAACAAACATAAAGAGAAATGTACCACTAAGAAAAAAGAATCAGAAGTTACAATACAACACAGAAAAAGATAAATAACATGTCCCAAACAAAAAGCAATTGCTAGGATGGAGACAGCTGTTTTAAAAAGTATTTGTTGGATTTCGAATGCATGTTTCGCGCTTGATTATTTAATGATGTAAGGAAGGAAATTCTATAGCTTGATTCCCATAAACGTGGTGGTGAACTTGCCACTACCGGTGCGAATCTTAGGCAGAAGGCGATTGTGCAGCTCAGAAAAACTAGTATCGTTGTTATCTACGAGGTTATTTACAATAATGTCATGAATACCGCGGAAAAGCTGATATATAACAATAGATAATTTCAGCTGGTATAGTTCATGAGGAGGGTAGATATTTCAATTTTGATAAAGCGTTATTGCATTGGTTGAGAAATGACTGACTGTAATCAGACAATGTGCTTGATTATTTATGCGTTGAAGTTGGTTGGGGTGGGGTGAAATATGTGTTGTCCCAGGCTAATGCAATAAGATATATGGCTGTGAATATGTGCGTGATAAAGGGAATGAATAATATGTGGCTGAATATATGTACAAGTTTTGATTATGGCACGTATTCCGTAGGTTATGTTGCAAATAAGTGATTGCGCATGAAGATTGAGCTTCATATTCCTGTCTAACATTACCCTAAGAAACTTTGTGCGATCAGATATTGGCATTAGGTTATCGTCCAAACAGACAAATATATATTTTGAAAATACTGTCGGTAAGGAATAGAAGGCCATAAAAACGATTTCAGATGGACTGATCTTTAACATGTTCTTTTGACACCATGAACTTAGATTTCGTAGATCAACATAAATTTTTCGTTGTAGGCCATCGGTGTTATTAGTGCAAGTGAAAATGGTCGTGTCATCTGCATACAAGATACAGTCTGGAGTACTCAAACTATTAGATAGATCATTAATCAATCACAAGAAAAGCAATGGGCCAAAGATCTATTTTTGAGGAACACATTGATTTACATTCTGACAGCTGAAACCTTACCGTCAATTTGCGACAATATTTTTGAAAACAGATTGCTTAAGGGTACCTGAACCAGTCCACAGTGTACTAACATACGACACAATGAAAGTACCTAGAAGGTCCAATAAACACAGCTCATAATCTTCCAAGCTAAATGATAATGATGCGCCAGCACCATGGCGGTAGAGTAAACCACAGAACTGGTCTGGTGGTTGTAGCGTTCGAATACTGACTCTAAGGTTGCGGGATATAATCCTGTTGGCGACGGCTGTTTTCATAGAGGCGTAATGCTAAAAGCCTATTTGATTCAATTTAAGCACATATTAAGAACCCTAGATGGTCAAACTTTTAAGAGCCCTCCACTAATAAGTTTCTCATAAATACATAATGCATGGATTGCGACATAAAACGCCGACAATTACTATTAATAAGCCAGATAACGTAAAACGTACCTCAACTGTAGTATTCCTTGGGAAGGTTACACCTAATAAGCGATTCTGGCATGTTGCTCGTTAGCGTCAAGCTTCGTTTCTTCAAGCCAGCTTTTGGAGGCCTCTCGTCACTCAAATCAGTGGGAATTATTAATGCTACCGAGGAGCGGCAAAAAAGGACAGCGCAAAACTTTGGCCTGTGCTGCGCTCCCAGCATCAGTCGTTGAATCGTAGCAGCTGCACATGCGGGTGTTGCATTTTTTTTGTTTTTTTTTACACAAGAAAGCGAACGCTGGTATGTTGGGGCGCACGTGTTGACGCTAGCATCTGCGTTTGCGAATACGGCTTCAAAAGCGCACGCTAAATTCGGCTGTTCATAAAAAAAGCCTTATGGGGTGCGTGTAAGTATCAATCGGCGAGATATATTGGCGCCAAAAAATAACTTTACTGCTAAGCTGTAACGTCTCAAAAGTGTGAATTTATTTATGTGAACAGGAACGATGTTTGAATTCACTTCGACTGCGGCCTGATATTCAGGCAATGTTACAGCGAATCAGTACTTGCGAGTTATATGTTTAATTGAGAATAATCCTGCCGCTGATAGACGCAATGGTTTTGTAAGGGACGGCTTCTGCTTTCCCGTAGTAGAGTACCAATTACTCTAATTCGTTAAACACTTTTTCTAAACACACAATGGGCATTATGAAGCTCTCACCTGTACGTTTTCACTCCACAAGTGAACATCCTTCCTCCTCACCCTCACTTGATATACTGTACAGACAAGGCTGTGCTACATTTACATGCTTTTTCCGTCTTTCCACTCTCCTCATCATCGCTTTTCTTTCCTACCCCATGCCTCACTCACTAAACATGGCCATGACATGGGTCACCCTCTGCCTCGTACTTTAAATTCTCCCCTTCACGTCACTCCTAATTATCTTCACTTCATTTTTCCACCTTCGCTCTCGTTCTTCGCCACGTGGCCGGAGTGAAATGGGGCCCATCAGAATAATCGCTAATTCTATTGTACAATACTCTATTTGGGGGATACATACAAAACAGCACGCCGGTGCTCTCCAATATGAGGCCTAACTGTGTGAAGACGCTAGAGACTGTTCAAGCTCAATGCTTACGAAGATGCTTGGGACCATCGCAGAGGCTCGGGCTTGTCCCATCGGTGTATACATGTTCTGCGAGCCACTTTAGAGTTCACCTTCAATTGCTGAGCCGACACAGACAGCACCCGCTATCAGCATTACCCGCCACTCACTCAGACTACAGTTTCTCAAGAGTGGTATCGCGGCATGGGAATATTCTGCCATCAAGGTTTTATCCACCGAACGTTCCTGCAGTGCCTCCATGAGTCCGGCCTAAACCACCTGTTTGTCCTACGATACCTGGAATTACGAAGAAGTCACTCGTTTCTTTGTTTCTTCTGTTGGCCTCAGACAACTGACCCTACATCACATTTATACAACGTAAGATGATTTTCTGCACGTGTACCCCACGGGTCCGCCACACTAAACACCTCCGCCGCCGCCTTTGTCGTCCCAGACATGGATATCGCCCGATGCTTCAAAGTGGACCATAAAACTACATCAACTGCCACAGGGCTTGTCGCTATCCGGGTGTCAATAAGACTTATTTTCGGAGAGCAACCTTGAGCCTGGACGATTTTCTGTGATGCCAAATTCACTTTGCAAACCATCAATTGCATCATGAGGCAAGGTCTGTATTACATCTTGTCAATATAAATCGCAGAACTTACTTAGGTTGCTTCAACAAATAGCCATCTTATCCCTTTCCTGTAGATTTTTGCGCATTTCGGCGTGAAGAGAAACGAAAAGGCAGACGCTGAACCTGAAAATACCTTAAGCACTGCCCCTGAAGTACGCATTGCGTTTTCACGAGCTGACACGAACGCCCTGCTTCACTGCGTGATACGCAGCTACATAGTTCAGCACTGGACCAAACCGGAATGGCCACACCGGCGACTTCACAAATGGGACCTGGAAATGAGGTTCGCATGCACCCTAAATTGAAACGGCAACTCGCAAGTACGATCCACCACATTCGTCTTGGTGTGGCGTACACCAGACGTTACGCACATATTATCGGTCGCAGTGACACCGGTCCGAATTGTGAACACGGTGATGTGCCAGCAACCACTTGTGCACTTATTTTGTGACTGCCCAGCATACGCACGTGAAAGACAAACACTGATTTCTTCTACTGAACTATATCGCAGTAGGTCATTAACTGATGAGACTGTTTTGGGCCCCTGGCCAGACACCACCAGTGCATATGTGGTCATAAAAGCAGTTATAGCCTTTTTAGAAGCATCTGGACTATATGCGCTGCTATTAAAATTTTCTCAGCTAGCAAGAATTCTATATACCAACCTCTCT